TTGTCGACGAATGGCATTTTTGAGAAGTTAAAAAATATTACATCATCCAATGTAGTCAAAACAAACACAAGTGTAATCGATAGCACGAAAAATATGGGCCATCCGTATAAATCATTACAAGCGTTGACACTCTTTTTCAAATTCCATATCAGAGTTTCAGTTGTTTTAAGGGATCGTAAAATTTCCCGATATTTGTTGTTTTTGAAATACATTTGGAGAGCAGAGTTTAAAGCCCGATAACGTAGCAACAACATGTTAAGGCAAACACAAAATATCAACACATGAAAGAATATCAGATACATGCATATGTGGTTAATTAGATAATTTCTTACATAGTAGGCACCCATTATTTTCCATCGAACGTAAAATACTTATCCTGATGATGCCAACTGAACAAGATTTGCAAGAACAAAATACAGGAAATCTGTATTGTGATTTACGGCGTTAACTAGATATTCAGTTTTTCTAAAATTGCTAAGTAAACATCTCCACGAAGATCTTTTACCCAAACCTAATATTATGATAAAGTAGATGCTTGACAACCACAGAAAAAAATCACGCAGGAAATTCACTACTATTTTAGCATGTATATATGTGGTGAAATATTCTTTGTACTTTGGAGCAGCGGCTGTAACAGTTGTTATTAACGCTGCGAGAAAAATACTGTGGACTTTCTTAAGTAAACTGTCGTTTACAAACTGTGAAGACGATGGTATACAACCTAACACCCTCCCTAACTTAAAAACATATGCTAAGAACTTAAGAGTCATAGTGTCCTATGGAGTTATGATGTGTGTGGTATTTAAACGTTCATGATATGGTGAAACACGAAAGTATCATTAATTATTAATAGATGATGTAGATGTAAATTTATGTCCCCGTATTTGTTTTTTATGTTTACTAAACAGCACGAAAAATATAGGCCATCCGTATAAATCATTACAAGCGTTGACACTCTTCTTTAAATTCCATACCAGAGTTTCAGTTGTTTTAAGAGATAGTAAAATTTCTCGAGACTTGTTCTTTTTGAAATACATTCGGAGTACAGAATTTAAAGCCCGATAACGTAACAACAACATGTTAAGGCTAACACAAAGTATGAATATATGAATTAATATCAGATAGACGCATACGTGGTTAATAAGATATTTTTTTACGTAGTTGACACCCATCATTTTCCATCTAACATAAAATACATATCCTGATGATGCCAAGTGAATAAGATTTGCAAAAATAAAATACAAGTAACTTGCACTGTGATTTGAAACGTTAATTAGATATTCAGTTTTTTTTAAATTGCTTAGTAAACATCTCTACGATTTTTTTTTACCTAAACCCAACAATAATATAAAGTAAACACTTGACACCCACAGAAAAAATCACCCAGTAAATTTACCACTATTTTTATGTGGATAAATCTCGTGAAATATGATTTATATATTGTAGCAGCGGTTGTAAAAGTTGTTATTAACACTGCAAGAAAAATACTATAGGTTTTTGCTAAATAAACTGTCATTAATAAATTCTGAAGACGATGGTGTACAACCTAATACCCACCCTATTTTAAGAATAAATGTTAACAACTTAAGTGTCATTTTGCCTTACGATGCTATCATGAACACTCAACCGTATGACACTTTAAATTCTATGCGCGGTATTTAAACGTTCATAACATAGGGAAACACGAAACTATCATTAATTACACTAGTTTACAAATTTAAACTTTTTTTCGTATCCAAAAATAAAAAAAATATTTTCTACTTCTAAATTACTTACTGATAACAAATCCAAAAACGGATAATTCCTATCACGTCAGGTTTTTTCATAAATCCAAAATAATGAACTTTGCTTTTACCTTCTTGTTAGTGTTAAACTGATTCATGTTAATGCACCATTGTCGCATAAAAAATGTCTTCGAGATCGTGCAAAGTAAGTGCAAATCAGTTTGTGTTACGTTTGTGGTAAAATTTAGTATATACCTAAAGCTGGAAGACCTGTTGAAATATGCTTAAAAAGAAGGTATCAAGGTTTTTGGGACGAAAATGTGTTACTGTTGGGCTATTGTAAGGGAAATTGACAGTACTGCCAATAAAAGAAAGTGTCACTCATTTTTAATTTTCAGTCATAATGTTTATAATATATACTGGGTGCTGCTTTTATTTGATACAACCCCTGTAACTTCTTTATTCTTAAAGATAAACCTATACTTCTTTGAGCAAATTTGTATTTTGTGAGGCCAACCTCACATTTTTATTATCACTTCCCGTAAAAAAATCAAAAGCAACCAATTATTCTAAAATCAATACTTGAAAAATTTTAAATAAAACATTGATGACAATCTAGCTTGAAAAATTAACTCAGGTTATTTATTTACGTAAATGATCTTTTAAAATGATACAAATTTGCTCAAAGAACTATATGTTCATATATATTTAAAAATTAAAAAATTACAACAGTTGTATAAAAGAAAAGAAATACGAGGTATGTTTATATAAATATCTCAAAAACCTGACGTGATGGATTTTTTCTGCTTTCAGATTTGAATTTCCAGAACCCAAATCCTTTAGATTCAACTATTTTTGTCTTTGGATATAAAACCTTGTAAACTAGTGTTATTAATAGATGATGTATAGCTTAGACTTAAATCGTCAACGTGCGTGTTCTACTTTAAAAATTGATGTTCCCATATTCAGTTTTTATGTTTACTTTATACCAGGAAATTTCTTTCACCAAACAATGACTCCCTCTGTTCCAAATGAAGTGTCCGATTTGGAAATAAATTCTGTCCCAAAATAAGAGACCGCTTCGTAAAAATTTTGAGATATTAATTCCTTCCCACATTTCTTTCCGCAACTTCAGGATCTTTCCATTCGCATCTTGGCCACCCTTTCTTGCTCTTCCTCGTTACATGCTGCTCATACACTTTTTTAATCAATTGTTTATTTATTATATGGCATACATGCCCTAACCATCTTAGCTGCCCTTGTCCTATTTTATCGGGGACATTTGCTTTTTGCGCAGACTCAAGTTCTATCCAGACTATCCCTTAATATTGCTTAGTAATAAATAAGACAATTAAGTGTAGTCAGGTTGTCCGAGCTGTCTACGGTGGTAGATTTAAGCTCTGATTCTCGAAAAGGAGCGTGGGTTCCAATTCCACACCTGACAGCCCTATTTTTATATTGATTTATACATTATATACTAAATAAAACAATTAAGTCTAGGTATTTTAGCTGAGCGGTATAAGGCGTCCGCTTCAAGATCTGATTGTCGAAAGGGAGCGTGAGTTCGAATATCCCAGACCTGACAGTTTTTTTTCCTCGGCGTTTTGTCTAGATCAGCACGAATTATGCGAATTATCAGTTTTGCAAAAAATGCAGATCGATTTAAATAAAGCACATTTAGAACTTGGAGATTTTTACATCTTTGTTGTCGACAGGTTTGTTTTCAAAACCGTAATATTATAAATTTCCATAGTTCACGTACTTCCTTAACTTACGCTCGGGAATTAAAATGATAAAATATGCATTCAATATCCATTTAGAATATAATCCGTTCTTTAATAATAATCAGTTATATTCCAAGTATTGATCAGTGCCTACATAATTAACCACAGCAAAAACACTGTCTTCGTTCTTGAACAACAAAATGTAATAACTTTGGAGCGCACGGCACGAAATATATTAATAAAAACTTTCCTGATACATATTTTATCATTTTTCGTCAAGAGTAAAACACAAGACAAGTTTCCACAATGGGTTCCCCATTACTGAAAATAATTTTGCAAACAGGTAGACTGTTTGCAATCTCCCCAGCTATCGAAGAAACAAACCTACAAACTCAAATCAGCAAACTGTATTCACTTTCAATATTCACAACTCTAACGGCCATTTTAATTTTTTCTGTTTCAACGAAAGTCTACAATATAAAACTCGGCATTCTGCACCTAATTGTCACGCATTTAAACCAACTAATAATCCACGCATTCACTTTTCTCGTCATGATAGTACTAAACGTCTGGAAACGTAACCTGTGGTTGGATTTTTTGAAAACCATTTCAAAACAAGAAGTTCAGCATGGAAAGAAAGTACGCTACTATTTTGGGTTTTTCCTAGTTCAAGGTCTGTATTGGGTACAGGCACTTTACTACGGTTATGTAAGAATAACGACTCTCAAAAACTGGTACTTTGTGCTAACATTGGCACTATTTTTATATGAGCAGTACTTGCCGTACTACTTTGCTGCTTTCCTTTACGTTGTGATAAGAATGTTTCTTAAACGTTACCAGGAATTTAATAAAGTTTTGTTAGCTATGGGAAACAAAAACGCCATTTCGTTACAGTTTGTGAAAAGTCTGGAAAGAGAAATAGTGGTTTTAAAGAAAACAGTAGATAATTTTAGCGATATGTTTGGATGGCCTGTTGTTTTCATGGTTATATCTACAACGGTGTCTATATTATATACTATAGAGCTAATGTACTATCCCGAAGAAGACGAATTTACTAACAATAATCCCGTCAGATCAGCCTGGAGCATAACGTACGTTGCAACTAAAGTAGTAAGTAAAGTTAAATTTTTGTCAAGTTACTTTCAACTACGAGAGAATTTGTTCTAGATCTATACTATAAATTTGTTGCTTATGTGTGACTATGTCGTCCAAGAAGGAAAAAGAACTGTACTACTAACGTATGATCTTAGGTGGCGTCTAAGAAATACGAGTAATCAAGACAGGCAAGAGTTGTACGAATTCACGAAAGTTGTGTCTAAAAATGTACCCATCTTTACTGCCGCCGGACTCTTCGAACTTGGAAGACCTATGGTTTTTCAAGTAGCTGGTATCGTTTTCACTTACAGTATTATTCTCATTCAGTTTCATTAGAGGACTAAAATCGGCCTCGGGCACCATTTTTTTTTAACAAAATACACACAACACAATTACTTACATTTATTTATTTAAACCTGCAAACTTAAATTTAAAGGCAGTCACTTTGTACAATATCTTAATTCTTTACAGATTTAGTAGCAACAATTGCGTCTCGAGTAACCCTTAAACCGTTTTCTTTGGCATACCTATAGAAAGCGCCCTCTGGATTTTGCAACAAGACAAGTGGATCATCAAATTCGACGATCTTCCCATCTTCTAGTACCAAAATTTTGTCTGAGTCTGCAACAGTATTCAATCGATGTGCAATCGTTAGCACAGTACTGCCAGCAAACTTTTTTCTTATAATGTCCTGTATGACCTCGTCTGTTTTCAAATCCACGTTAGCTGTGGCTTCGTCCAAAACTACTATCTTATTATTTTGAAGTACCGAACGCAACAAACAAAGTAGTTGCTTTTGGCCAACACTAAAATTAGAACCGCCTTCTGCAATTACCATGTCCAGTCCTAACGGTAAACTGGACACCGTCTGTTTTAAATTAAATTCTTCTAAAGCTGACCAGATTTTAGAATCGGGATATTTATTCCAAGGATCTATGTTTCGTCGGAGACTTCCTGAGAAAAGTATTGGGTCTTGGGGTATAATTGAAATGTTGGAACGAAGGTGTTTTAATGGTAGACATTTAGTGTCAATCCCGTCAATAAAGATGGCTCCTTCAAAATCGAATAGTCGGAACAAAGCGGAAATTAACGACGACTTTCCAGCTCCAGTGCGACCAACAATGCCAATCTTTTGTCCTGCTTGAATTTGAACACATAGTCTTTTAAGGGCGTAGTTCTGATTTGGCAAATATTTCATGCTAATGGTGTCTAAAGTGATATTCCCTGCCAGTGGCCAGGATGGTGGAGGGATTAAATTACCATTATCGGGTTCAGTAGGGAGGTCAATATATTCTAGCACTCGTTCAACAGAAGTCATATGAATTTCAACTTCCGCCCACACTTTTATTAGGTATTGAAATAGTCCTACTAAAGCGGTCGCTTGAGTTATTGCAAGTCCAATAAATCCAGCAGAGGCATCTTCAACATTGATAAATTATTTCTAAAAAAGGTAAAACTTACACACTCACCGTTTGGGATTAACAGAAAACCAAATGTCACAACTCCGACGTAAATAGCACTTAGAAGATCAGTCCAGAATCCAAGAGCACAATATAGCGCTGTTAACAGGTATGAAGCTGAAGTATGAAGCTCTTGGTGTTTGTCAAACTCCCGAGATAACACTTCTTGTGCCCCGGACGCTCTAATAGTTGCAAGACCCTGCACTGTTGCAGTTACGTGGGCCAAAACGTGGCTTTTGGCTGAAGATTGACATTTTAATTACGGAAGATTATAGAATTGTCACTTACTAGTTCCTTCTGTTCTTTTCAAATTTCTGTTTGTTGCTTGAAACACAAAAGCACACAAACATGTAATTAAAACTAAAGTAAGTGATATAAGTATAACCCAGTAGTTTGTAAGAGACACAAGCACGATACTTCCGAATACCAGAAGCAATCCAGTCAAGACATTCATTACTGCCATTGGCAACATTTCGTCAGTACAACCCATGTCTTTGGTAAATCTGTTTAAAATTCGACCAGACGAGTTCTGGTTGAAGAACGCTATGGTGTTGTGAATAGTTCTAGATAAAAGATGTTGGTGTAAGTTCTTCGAAACATTAATGTTGTATCGAACTATCAACCAAACAGTACAAAAAGCGGTGATAATTATACTCCCGAGGATAATGATATATAATTCAAAGAAGTGTAGCTTTTTCTGATGTTCCATTAGATTTTTAACGTTTACCCAAAGACTGAGAAAATAGTCGCAAGCATTTACGAGTGTTTGTAATAAAACAAGCAAGAGAAGTACCAATATTGTGAAAGTCCAGTGACCAGCAGATAAGCAGTACCGTTTGTAAATATTGACACTGTTTCTTCCACTACTTCTGTGTTCCTTGAATTCTTCTAAATCATTGTGTTGCTTCAAAGGAGCTAGAGCTTGTGATAAAGCTCCAGTCGTTTCATTTTCGTCCACAAATGTGTCTTTCAAACCCACAACTTTTCCATATTTTCCACAATCTCGAATTTTACCGTCTTCCAAAACGTAGATTTTAGTGGCAGTTTGAAGATACCGTGCTTGGTGTGTAACTAGTACCACACATTTCGTTTTTAGATAGTTTAAAATACAATTGTCAAAAATTTGTCTAGCCACATGAACATCAACAGCTGACAACGGATCATCCAAGAGATAAATATCAGCTTCTCTGTATATCGCTCTAGCTAAATTGATCCTAGCTTTTTGTCCCCCACTCAACATAGCTCCTCTTTCTCCAACAATAGTACCATCACCTTGTGGCAAAGAGAAAATGTCGTGTTCTAAGCAACAGATCTGGACCACCACGTGGTACTTCTCCACGTCTAGATCTTCTCCAAACAAAATATTCTGGCGAATGCTTCCGGAAAAAATCCACGGTTCTTGGGACGCGTACGATATAGTACCATGAATGTCCATGGTGCCTCCACACGTTTGAATTTCCTTTAAAATAGCTTGAAGTAACGTTGTTTTGCCACCTCCAGCAGGACCAACAACACCAATAAGGTCACAAAAGTGAGCAGTGAAAGTGATATTGCTTAGAACGTTACGTTGGGACGAGGAATGCCATTTAGCACTTACGTTACGAAGACTAATACAGTGTGGTCCTTCTTGGAAAATATTATAGCATCTCAAAAAACTCGTTTGGTGGTGTGTTTTGACATCTAGGTGTGTGCAAACCTCCGACGTTGTATCTGTTTTCAATAAAAATTCTTGGATTCTTTCAATCGAAACACTGACTTCAGACACACGAACTAAAGACACTGGTACTAGTATTATTACTGAAAGCGCTAGAGATTCGTACATAGTTTCCATTGTGTACAGATATTGCGGGGTTATAGGTGATTTAGTAACCATTAAGGTTATTATTCCAAGAAACACACTCACGGGTGTTGAGAATAACTTGAACGAGTTTATACCTAATCGGTAGTAATTTGCTGTAGTAACTTTTTTTAATTCAGCACTGGAAATAAATTGATAGTTTGTAATTTACAATTTTGATATGCTTACCTCCGAGCTTTTTCAATTACTTCGATAAAATAATCCTCCCAAGCGTACATTTTTATTGCTCGTATTCCAGAAACGACGTCGTTTACTAAGCAAACCCTCTTGTCAGTTTTTAGAGCGATTTGTCTTCTTTTTTGAAAAATTTTTTTCGAAATGTACGTTTGGAAAAGTAAACACAAGGTTAAAAATACAACACCAACAAGTGCCGTATGTCCGAGTTTCACGTCCATGTATACAACACCGACTGCGATTTCCAGAGGTGCTATCCACATATACTGGAAAAAAGTGAACGCGTCGTCAAATTTTCCCACGTCGTTGGATAATAAATTAACCATTTGTCCCATTGTCAAGTCCGAGGTTGCTCTTTTTCGTACTGTTAGTATGTTTCGGTAGATGAGACTGGAGCAAGCAATTCTCATTTTCATTCCTAAAACTGTCATTTCCATCAAGAGGAAATTGAAAGATATGGCACGAAAAAAAACTAAGAGGGTTATGAGACCAGCGTAAATGTAGGTGTCGTTTGTTTGTAAGTTGTCTTCTCTTGTAAAACAGTCCAGGAATTTTGATAATAGAAACGGCTGACAGATACTGAAGTCAAGTTAATTATAAATAGAGCAACTAGAATTGGATGCTTACAAAATAATCATGTCAACTGGTAGATAAAATATTCCCTTAATTACAAATTCCAAGCCAAAAGTTTGAATTATAACCCTTCGTAAAGAAGGTGTTTTTGATGCACTTTTTTCACGCAGCCATTTTTCCTGGAGTCTGTCACCAAGATTTTTAGATTGGTGTTGTTTCAGCGTTGAGTAAAGATCGTCTTCGTTTAAGTCTTTTTTTAAACCTTTTATGAATATTGGAATTTGCCAACTAATAAACTGTTTTATACTTCAATTAGAAACTGTTAATGTAGCTTACCAGAAGAATATATGTTTCAAAATACACCCTCTTTCTTGGGGGTGGATTTCTTTATTACCGCCACCTTTTAGTTTGTTTTCCATATTTTTAGTTGATCAGTGGTAATACAGACATTTTAACGAAAGCGTCTACTTTTCACAGCCATTAAATAATAGTAATCAGTGAAAAAGTTGTAATTGGGTTAACAGCAAAGTGATAACATGAACTTATTTCCTGGTATATCTGGTAGTTTATACTAAAGATATATTACTTTGTAGAACGTCATGGGCCATTAAAATTTTATGTTTTCGTATGTACTTTCCTTATAGCAGCCTACGGTAGTTATCACTATTTTAAAGATAGTGAAATTTTTTTATCTTTATTTTAATTAAGTTGTAACATAGTTTTAACAAGATACTGATTTTAAACTAATTCAAACATGCCGAATTTTACTTATTTCAATCACATGCGATTGTTTTGAAGAAAGCAATAGTGTAGTAAAACTCAAAGTAAATGCACAAATAAACGTTAATGTTACAGGCTTGGTGGAGATTTTTTTTTTGCTGTATTCTTTCTTGAGTTCTTTTCAATTCATAAATATCATCGTTATCATGATTGGTTAATTAAATATTTTATCTCTTTTCTTACCGTTTCAATAGTAAATATTTTTCACTTTTCAGTCGTTTTGTTTTCGCATATCTTCTGCTTCTTGTCTTTAGTATTTCATATCTCGTTGTGTATTCACGTACTGGTTTGTCATTTCCTTATTGCTGATACAGGTTTTAAGGTTATCAAACTGTTATGTCGATGCATAGGTGAAGCTAAATAATCAAGGCGAATTCATAAATCGCAGGTATAGAAGTATGTTATTATCGTAAAATTTAAATCGGAGTTACTTTGCAAAAATTTGAGATAATCTCACAGAATTGTTGGCGAGTATGATTAGACAAACTTTGTTTTGCGTTTTACCATCTACACGATATTTCTAAAGCAAGCATAAAATTTCACAACAATGAGTGCAATAATTTTGGAAATTATCTGTCAAATACAATCGTCAACAGACGACATACAAACCCAAAAGGAGGACTTAATGGTCACATTGTTTCGACGAATAAACATAAACAATTGAAGTAAAGCCCGTACTGATAATATATTGTTGGTACCTGTATCGACCTGTGTCGACAGGGGCATAGCATAATTCTCTACCTGTAGATTTTTAACAATCCACATAAATCTTCATTTTAAGTTGTAGGGGTTGTCATAAAAAATAAATTAAAAAAAAATCCTTAAATTAAATTTTATTCCTCTTATTTTTGAAAAAGCTGTAATTGTTCCTCTGTAGATTCAAGAAAAATTTAGATTTTTTTTAAGCATGTGGAGGAATCTTAGGAAATTTCACTCTATTTCATTTTCCAAAAATAATATGAACGAACGTCAGGGGTCCCCAGTGTTTTTTTTTTTTTTTTAAAGAGTGTGTAAGAGTTTCGAATCTCGGGTGTCTTGTTTGAAAAAAATGTTAAAAACTTCTAAAAAGAAAAAATCTCGGGGTTCTCTAGTGTTTATTTTTTAAGAATGTTAAAGGATCTCGTGTCTCGTGAGATCCTATAGTGTTTTTGTTTCCAAAAATGTGAAAGAATGTCAGGGCTCCCAAGGTTTCTTTTTTTGTATGAATGTGAAAGAACTCGGGGGTTCCTAATGTCTTTTTTAAGTATGTGACTGAATCTTGGGGCCCCCTAGTCTCTTTTTTAAAGAAAAGTTCTTCGAGATTTTTTTAGAAATGCGGAAGAATCCCGGGGACCCCTAGTGTTCTTTTTACTTACCGAGCGTAAGCTAAGGAAATATAGGAATCGAGTCCATCGGTCGAAATGCCACTTTTATCTTTTCTCGATGTTTCATGGTCCCTACTATACGAAAAAGTAGTTTCCCGTTTCCGTCTGTCTGTCTGCCTGTGTGTATCCATTTTCATTAGACACGTAATTTCCGAAACTGTTGGACCGATTGTTGTCAATTTTGTATGTGTATTAGAAATATCATGTAGATGTGGACAATCTAATGATTAACAATTTAATGACATGTGCCAAGCCTTGGGTCGACTAGTGCCGCTGACATAAGAAACACGTCTGGTCGACCTAAGCTTATGCGGCGACCTTCACGCCTTCACGCCTTCACGCCTTCGGTCAGGAGCAGCAGTTGCTCGGGCACCAGCTCCCTCTCCGGGGGAGGAAACGCCGGGGTTTCTCTCAAGCCGGAGACACGGATCTCAGGTGGTGAGGGCCCGCGAAAACACATGAACAAAAATAAAACGGCAAGGAATATTTTACACAATAAATAGGGCTTATTCCCTGCCACCAGCTACACGCCAAAAATAATAACGTTAAGGCTAAACTTAAATTAAATAATTACAAACGGTTTTACAAAAAAAAAAGAATTAAACGTCAGGCACGGTCGTTTCCTCCTGGACGGCGACTTCCTTCAAGACGAGCTTCTCCTGGACCCGGGGGCGGCGACCTTCAACCTGGAAATCGCAGGAAGACGATACGGTGAGCCAGGAGGAGAGCGTGGTGGCGGTATACGACAAAAAAAACCCGGTGACGGTGGTACGGTTCCTCACTCGGGGGCGACAATTCCAAAAACCGATACGTAAACGGACAGACGACCCAAAAGGTACTTACGGAGGTCGGAGGGTCGAACTGCACACTCCGCCACATTTCAAGCATGAATCCTGTTCATCCGCCGCGGATTTACCCCCGGTCCTCACGTAACGCGTCACGGTTTCCGGCCCGCGAAATTTGCTTCGTTACAATTTCAATGAATTGTATTTTAAAATGATTTTAATGTTATACAAAAATATACTTCTCTATTTTCAATTTTTCGCTTAATGTTCAAATTTTCGCAAAAACATTTGCAAGGTATAATAACGGGCAGAAGTCCCCGTGGCGCAGTGGCTAAGCCGGGAAGAACGAGACCTGCAGCGAAGCCGTGCAACATGCGGTAGTGGGTTAGATGCCGAACTTCCTTTTTTTCTTCTTGCACTGTAGTAGTACTAGTATTATTCATGTTGATGACGTCTTTATAATTTTTTTATTGGTCAAATTAAGAACGAGTTACCCCATTTTCTCGAAAATGTGAAAAACATTTTGCTCAAATGTGGTTTAATTCCTAATGTTAGTCCTGTGTTTTGAGAAGACTAACTCATTCAAATCAAACTAATTTCTACGTGACATTCTTTCGATGTATAAACATAAATAAACACTTGAACTTCAGATTGCTAGTGCTGAAGGACATTTTCTCACGTTAGTTATGTGGTTTAAATATATTCTACCTTTTCCGTGCGGTCTGAAGGCTGCGGGGGTGTGCCATTTACACCACTGGTTTTTAATATAAGTATAAAGGTTATCAGAAAACAAACATTTTTTATAATTTTTCAAAAAAGCGGAATTTGTTGAACTGTACTTTAAGAGCGAGGGAAGTTCTATCGAGCAATTTAGCCTTTGACCAATTTTTAAAAAAATGTGGAAGAATCTCGGTAGAGTCTACTGTTTTTTTTTCAAAAATGCAAAAAAATCTCGGTAGCCTCTAGTGTCTCGGGAACTCTTAGAGGTTTTTTTTTTTAAATGTGATTGAATCTTAGAGCTCCTTAATATATCTTTTTTAAGGAAGGTGGAAAATTTTCGTAGACACTCTGTATCTTTTTTCAACAATCTGGGAAGTCTCTAGTGCCTTTTTTGAAAGAATGTGAAACAATCTCAGGGCCCCCTTGGAAAAATCGAAGGAGATCCTAATGTTTTTCTTTTAGAGAAAATACAAGAATCTCGAACACCCCTAGTCTCTTTTTTTAAGAATGTGAAAGACTCTCAGAAAATTCTAGTGTTTTTTCTTAAAGAATGCGAAAAAATCTCGTAGCACCTTAGTGCCGTTCTTTTGGTTAAGAATGTGAATGATTCTCAGGGGCTCCTATTGGTTTTTTTGAAAAAAATGTGAAAGAATCTCCCCTGAGTCACAAGAAAATGTGGCTTTAAAAAAATTTAAAGACTCTTGTGTACTCTTAACTAAATTGTCATAATAAAAAAATAAAATTCACATAATGAAATTTTGTAGTTTATTTAAGAAACTAAACTTGTTCTATTTTATGTGCTCTAGGGTTGGGGGAATTCCGTGTAAACAACTTTAGATCAATTTTCAGATCAACATTTAACGCGCTTTCATACATAAAAAATATAGCTTACGATAGACAACTTGTTTATTTCCATTTAATCATTTGTCAAAATTCGCTTCATTTATAACCCATTACATTAATTTCCAGATAAATATTTTTGTTATGGTAAAATCTGAAACGTTGAAATTACTTAATTATATTGCTTAAAAGGTGACCATACAGTAAGTATAAGCAAAAAATAGTGTTAACTTCTAAGACATACTATTTTGGGTTAAAAAAATATCACTTTTATTTTACTTCGTATACACTTAATTACGGAAAGTAAACATAATTCTGTCACGCAAGTATCATTTACAGAAAACAAAGCTATATTATGATTTTTTATAT